TCAAAAAGAGATTACTTCGGGTTATTTCCCTGGCGGGTTTAGGGTTTGTGGCCATTGGTGCGGCTTCTTACTGTTGGTGTGGCCCTTTCTGCCAGCGCGGCCCTCGTAAACTCGTGTAATGGAGTCCGAGCAAGACACAAGAATGCCTAACCTGTCGTAGTCAAAATTGAGGGTTTCGTCTGGCATACGGCTTTGAGTGTGGAATCTCACATGGGGACCAAAAGCATGGTTTGAGGCCGTAACGTAGCAGGATCTCATGGCACATCCTGCACGCGCCAATCATACAAAAAGCTCTAGAACGTGCAGCGAACAATAAGATTCTACAGCTCCAAACCTGCATCGGGGATGTAGCAGGGAGTCTTTGAAATCCTTTTTCAAGTTGCATGTGCCAAGGCACCCGAGCGGGGCAACAACAGATCGCGGCTTCCAGTTGCTACGCTCCGCTACGTCACGCAGCAGCTCGGTCTGAAGCACAGGGTGATGGACATGTTGCTATCCCCAATAAGGGAATCAAATGGCACATAAAATTGCAACTACGATACAGGGATGATATAGGGTTTTGTGATGTTACTCCAAAACATGAAGAGTGAAATGGAAGCTGGGATCATCTAGCTGAGAGTACCTACCGGAAAGCAGTTCCATCTGGGGTTCACCGATCCTTCGTGTGTACTCAAGGACTTTTCTGATCTGATGTAAAGAACCGCTGTGTGGGCGTAGGACCTGGGTTGAGGTCGCCTTTGGTTCCAGTTTCATTTTGGCCGTGAGATAGCTAACTTCAAGGTTCGCACATCAGGATGTAGATCTCACATTGCATTGACGTTCATCTCAAGCTGAAGAGTCTGGAGGCATGCTCTCATGTTGGGAGACACTGGAATCCCAAGGCCTCGTGGATTTCGGTGAATGCATCTGCTTTACGTGTTTGTGGAGCCCTGCAATTGGACTGGGTTGAACCAGCTGCTTCACACCCATCCGAACTCGTCACCGCCGCTGAGCGGACCCAGGCGTCAGCCAAACCTAATCAAGAATCAGAATAAGGTGCTTTCACGGAGAATGGTGAGCAAATCCGAACTCTCCATCCTGCGTGACAAAAAAGCCAGTTTCAGGGCCGCTCAAGCCAACCGAGTATCTTGAAACTCTGAAAATGGGAGACAACACATACCCAAACAGGATGCCTCCTCCGAAGCGTACAGCTGGTAACGGTCCACGGCCCGATACCTGACATCATTGCGTAGATTAATGCCCACTAGCTAAGCCTTCCTCTACGCAGGCAACATCGAATGCTATGAACGGATTACACCGGCACGGCAAGACCCTCGCTTGACAAAGACCTCAGCCCTGAAGTCTCTGCTTCCTGTAGCACAGAGTGGAGGAATGGAATCTTTTATTTCAAGGGCCCAAGCCGCACCAATACTAGGACCAGGATAGATATTCAGCAAAATTAGGATCTTGCGTCCCCTCCACAGAAGTTGCGCCAAATAAGTGTCATTGTATCCTATTGGGACCCATAGTTTTGAGAAACCTACAGCTGTTCACTTCATTGGAGGCAGAACCGCTCAAGCGCAAGCGGAGAACCTAGTGAGGTTTGCATAATCCCTGACACATCCATGTACCTTTCAGCTTCTGCCCTGTAAATGAACATCAAACTAAAAGCAGCTTTAAAGTCCTAATCTGAACTGAGGCCAGGATTCACTTTCAGCGCCACAAACCCGAGGTTGAGCCCCTCCTTCTCCTTCACGACGCATAGGCTGATGCTGGGCCGTCTGGGTTATCGTTTCTTTGGCAGACTTTTTATGGATTGGCTACTGCTTCAGCAGTAAGGATGCATCCACACATGCAATCTTTCCAGCAAACTCAAGCGAAAGTTGACTCTGGGTTACCAGCCCACATGATCCAGCCGAGGCGCCTCATCTGCACATAGCCAAACGGTGGCGAAGGCTCCTGCATTTTGGCGACATGGTGGCGCCTCTTAGGACAATGATCCTATCTTGTCACTGAAAAGTCTATAAGATCGTTAAAAAACGCTCTTGAGCATCCCTGAAGATGCAGTCTCTACCAGGCTCCTTTGCGACAAAGCGTCTATCTTAGGATTTTGACCACTGTTTGCACAGGTTTGGCTTATGTCAATTACGTGATGACATGCCCTTGAAGTCTTGCGGCAGGATTGCATGGAAAGCTCCCTTCACCATGTATACAGCCAACTACTTCTGCAGATTCGGGTTCCCTGCACTCAGTAGCCACATGGTCTGAATTACAATAGGGACTCCAAAATGGTCCCAACATGTTGCATCTGCTCCAACTGGTTAATATTACTAGCTGAAAGGTCCTGTTCCCAGACGCCCATGCACGCGGAAGCGATCGCATAGCAGTGCGCCGGGACGGATAGCGTGGAGCCCCTGCCCCTTGCCATGCTGGGGGTAGATTAAACAGGGTTTCAACTTTTGATTCTAAGTTTGCGGGGTTACTTGGAGGCTTTGATGGGGTGTCGATGACAAAAGTCCTGGCAACATGAGTAAACTCGACTTGGATGGAAAGTGGCGTATAATGTACTGCTGGGCATGCAGAAGGAAAGCTGGTAGGTAGACCTTGGCAGGAACCCGCAGCAGCCAAAGCTGACTGAAGAAGCCGAGCTCCACCAAAGAGCCGTACCAAAAGCATTCAACAGCAGTATTTGTTGGAAGAGCAGGCCCAAACTACACCTGCTCCAGTGCCCGAAAAGACTTCAGGCGACCAAAGCAGCAGAGTTGTGAGGATGAGACGTCAATCACACAGGAGGGCAAAGAAAAGGAAAACTGCCGCTGTGACTTTGCAAATGAACAGTGAATTGGAATTGGACAGGGCTCGAAGTCACGGTGAGTCTCAGTGTGATACAGGGTCAGGGTCAGTCATAAAGCCAGATTCATAGCACTGGATACGCAGGGGATGGCAAAGGGCTGAAGAGTTCCATCTCAGATGCCCTGGTCGACGCTGGCAGGGGAGCTCATCATCTTAGGAAACATACAATTAAAGCAGACCCTCCGCAGGACCGGCCTCCTCGCAGTCCTCGATGTTGTCATCGTCATCGTCATCATCTGGCGTAGGTGGCCGCTCCCTAGGCACAGGTGACTGCTCCCCTCAGAGACTTGGATCCATCCCCTTTGTCTGCCCCAGTTGGATATGCATGTCGCGAAAAACTGATAAAATTTCATTGCATCTTTCAAGACAGCTTGTTCCTCACAAATGGTGCATTCAGCATGTGTGCTCTTATCCTCAACGATCCTGAATGAACTATGTAGCGGACTTGCAAACCTTACTCATGGGCATGATGTCCTTGTGCGTGAGCACAAGTCGCCAGGAGAAATGTGGATCTGCGCTCTCCATCGCACCACCAACTTTTGCAGTTTGGGGAGCTTTGCAGCTGTGGCATGAGGAGCAGTGCTTTCAAAGCGCATGTGTGCGTGCTGGCTGCGCAGCATGTTACTGAGGCACTTGGGTGTCCTCAGCAAGGCATCACCGGGGCATCTGCAGCCCTTGCAAGGGATTTTGCGATTCTGATGCCACTTCCGAAGTTGGAACAAACCGCGGGAGGAGCTTCGCCCTGATCGTTGGGCCCAGCTGTTGGGAGACGACAAGGGTCCATGTTTACAAGGTATCCACGAAAAAATGTCCTCTATAGATTACAGGTAGCATCTGAACATGGATGCTGGTCCCGTGAGGATCGAGGTGCTGATTTGCAGAAATCATCTGTGCCAGAACATACACGGATGCACCAATGCAAGTGCCTAGCATTTCGGTGTACAGCCGGCAGCCACGGTGGGAATGAATCTTGTAGCTGGCAGAGATGTTTGATGAGCTGGTTTGAAGCATGCCGTGCAGATTGAGTCAGCTCAAGGCAGAATGACTGCTCTATGCAGGACGAGCCAAACCTGAGCAGGTAAGCAAGACCTGTTCACGCATCAAATGGGATAAAGTCCACCATGGGCCCGAAACCCTTGTCTCAAAGCCTTCAGATGGGTTCTACTGGGAATCAGTTGCTGGTAGCCAAGGTGTTGGCGTGACTGGAAGCACTTCCGGCGAGGCGACCTCCACTGCAGAACCAGCTGTGGGCAACTCACTTTGCGCTCTACTGGAATGTACCACAACTAGAAGGTACCGCTCTAACAGCAGCACACGTGATGAGAAATAGCCTTCCTCTCAAAATACGCTAAAGGACGAAACTAGGTTGCCAAAGAACCCAAAAGTGTCTCCAATTCAGCGGGGTTTGAATTTGGTCATGGGAGATACCCCAAGAGCTATCTGAAAAGAGCCTCTTTCGAGCAGCTTCTGCTGCGACTGCGGTCGCGGCCCAATGTCATGGCTCTGGCTCAGAGTGGCAACATGTGGCAACTTGAAGTACACATCAGACCGCTCTCCCCTCACGGGGTTTGAGGAGCCTGGTCTCTGCAGTTATGACAAAGGATGTCAAATGAGTTCGACCTTCAGGCTGGCCAGTGCGTGCGAGGCATCTCCCACAAATGGTCTGGCTTGGAACCGGCTTCAGGCTGATCTACTTGGGGACTAGGCTTCGAGCCAAGACCCTCTACACTTCTTGGCATTAGTAAAACCTCATGCGGAACTGTTGAAGCTCGGTGCTCGAATCCACTGGGATCTTTGTCCCTTTGAGCCCGGGAACAGCATCAGGCTGGTAGATATGCAGACCGTGAAGGATCGGATTTTGGGGCCTTGGATGGTTTGGTATCAGGGGTATAGACTAAATAGCCCAGAACTTTGCAAGTCTGTGCGGGTCAGGGTGGTGAACGTCATGGATTGAGAAGTTCCGTCCAGTGTCCTCCCAACACACAAGCCCTCACGCTTCGCAAGCTGCTCTACCACAACGCTTACCACCATAAGCTGGTGCTATCACTCATCAATAAACCTCACAGCTTTGAAATCGCAGAACTAGACTTAGCCGTAGCCCATACAACCGGACCCTTGTCAAGCCCCGACTCATCGGACAGATCCAGCTCTGTGCTTTGCCCGCATCTCTACGCACGCGGCTGTTGCCGTTCGGGGTCCGTCACACCCCATCCGCGCTCCTGCAGAAAAAATGAGAATGTGCAAATAAGTGGATGCCCAACCCAAGTCTAAACGGCATGAGGTTGCGCAGCAACTTGACAGGCAATCCAATTGGAAACTTTTGGAATTGGTGGGTAGACATCTTGCTACATCCTTTTCCTGTGCGAAAGCGAGGGCTGGCTTGGTCACAGAAGCAGCTGCCATCATAAGCCCATACGGATTGCAACGCGTTTGTTACGTTGGCCATTGTTAAGATGTCTTGGGGTTCAGATGCCATGCGATCTACCGCCTATTATCAGGCTTCTTCGCCTCCTACTCGTGCAGACCACGGCCGTGGCGTCCTTGAGTAGGGCCTCTCGTCGGGCCCGGAGCTCCTCGCCAACGATTGCTACGTTGGGTCTCTGGCTACGAATACAGGGTCCCCAGGGTTCACTGGGCTGTCATTCTCAGACTGCGAGGGCCAGCTGCGCTTGCAGAATTCTGGGAAAGTGTGCAAAGATAAGTGCTCCACAATGTCCTCACCAAGGCCGAACGGAATTTCAGCAGCTACAAACAGCTATGAAGGGGTTGTGACAGCTCAACACATCGAAGTATTCAAGTACGAGTAAGCCGGATTTCAGGATTGGGAGCATTTACCCTTTCAGACCGTCTTCCGAGCTCCCTGTATACGGGCCCAGATTTTGGATCCTTAGGAATTTGGGCGCGCACACACACATAACAGTTCTGTGCGTTTGCCACCCAACACGTATCTGGGTGCTTGGGTGGAGTCCTGGTCCAAGCGGCGGAAGAGAGGTGTCACAATGGCCTGTCAAAAGGCATAGCATTGAGGTTCTGCTCTGAAAGCTGGCTTGAGGCCTAGCAGCGGCGCGCGACAGATGAGCCCGCTTGCAAGCAGCCGTCCCAACACACACGTGGCAGGCTATAATGGACAATGCGAAACCCGACTTGTCAGCTCTGCCACTTTGATCATGCTGTATGGCAAGCTAATACCATTGACTACCCTTGCTACAGAAGAGTTGAAAAAATGTGGAGCCAGGCCTTTACTATGATCCTGCTGGCTACAAAAACCCAAATACGGTGAAACGATATCTATTACACTGCCCACATCGTAAGGAGCGCAACACTGTTGCTGACGATGCTCCTAACAAGCCCTGCGAAACGTGCAACAAATGCATCATGCGACACAGCACGGTTCCTAGATCCTGCACAACCGGAAGGAACACGCAAACTGCTGCACATGGAAACGAGCAGCCTTGTTTGTGGAAATGAAGAACCTCCGGAGAGGCTCATCGCAAACTGTAGGCAAGTCCTGCCACAAGCAAGGCTTGCTGCTGCATGCTCCAGCACTTCACAAATACATGGTCTCGTCATGGCTTTAGTCCTGAAGTTATTGGCACTGTGGTCTATGCAGCATCAGGTGCACACACGGTACTCCTCCCTACAGGGTTCGAAGTCTCGGCTCCCTCTCTCGAAAACGAATCGGTAGCAATGCTGTGCACCAGGCTTTTACCCAAGCGCCTTCTCGGCACACACCGAATCCGAAAGCGGAGCCTTGTTGCCTTCAAACGCAGCTTGGTCTACCAGCTACGAGGTCATTGGGCGTTGACTTGGACTGGGCTACAATCCACCAGGGTGTGGACTGCACTCAAGACACAGTGAAAGCCGAATGGCTGAACTGCGGAGAGTGGCCCAATCGACTGGACAACATTGCCTAGGACGTAACAAAGGCATGAAACAGCACTGCTGCTGATAGGGGGCTTGAAGCCAGGAGCCCAGGAGCTGTGCTGTTCGAGGCTAACATTCACAAAATCATGGATCCATGAGAGGTCCTCAGCCAAAGCCTTACCCTAGGCAAATTCTCGAAAAGTCAGCTTTGCCTTTGAGTATGGCTGGAAAGACAGTAAAGCGCATGCTGCAAGGCGTAGATCCAGTCCAGAAACAACATGCTGTCGGTTTGCTCAACAAGTCAGCCCAAAACTATGCGGCTCTTTGAAGCAGTTCCCACGCCTTCTGGCAGTTGTCATCCCAATCTTTTCCAGGCAATATGAGACTGAAGCTGAAAACTTCCGAAAAGAATATAGCTTGATCCTCACACCGTGGATCGTACGTAAACTCCTGCGGTCAACTCGCCTGGGACGTCCTTCAGAGGTCTGAGGTGCTCCTTTTCGTATTCGAAGGCCTACCAGAGAACAATCTTTCAGAGCTCCAGGGCTTGGGGTTCAGAAGGAAGTTTGGCTGTTGGAGCGTTGTGTGTTCAATCCAGGCCTGCACAACCATCTCGAACTTGTCAATGTCTTTACAGTAGATCGCCTCCACTGTCTTCAGGTCCTCATACTCAGCCCAGAGTTCGTAGAGCTCCTCCCCAAGGGGGTCCCCCACCACCTTCCGGATGGCTTGCATGGCCTCCCTCTCCTCAGCAGCTGGCAACGCATACTTCAACCCTGCCGCAGCCCAATGTATGAACAACACATACAAGCACGCTCAACGCCATCAAGGAAGACGTCCCACATCACCCGCAAATCACAAGTCAAGCTAAGGCTCCTTCTCGTGCTTGGACGCCACAAGGGTCGGGTTACAGTAGGGCGTGATGTCTCCCGCCAAAGCTTCACAGAGATCGTGACTGACGGCCATCCGCAGGAGCCGCATCTTGTCCACCTGCAGGAGAGGATCCCTTTGGAAGTCTTTGTTTAAAGCATATCGCGTGGCTACTTCTCACGACGGCACCTTGTCTGGATGGAACTTCTCCATCCCTGGGGTTGTATAGTCATCCCGTGGGTCGGCCGGCTGAGTGAGTAGCATCGCGCACATGGCACAGCGGTGCATGTGGTCGGAGTCGCTCTCCGGCAGAGGAACTTTACGCATGACCCAACCAGTCCGCTTCAGCCGCTTTAGCGTGCCGCAGATGTCCGAGATAAAGGACAGCGCATCCATTGTGCCTGGGCCTGTCTTGGCCCTCTTGGCTTCAGGCTCGCCATTGGCCATGATTGCAAATCCTGTCTGCCAGTCAGTCAGGAGTGCCAAGCTGATCAAGATGACAGCTGCGCCTCTGGAATGGGCTCGATGGCAGTGCATATAAAGACGAACCACTGATCCAGAATTTGTGGTTGCTGCGGCCGTGTTAAAACTTAAGCTCGGAAGCTGCGCTACACTTGCCTGAAACCCTCTGCCAGAATGACAAAGCATGCGAAAGGCGAGATACACGAATGTGATGCTGACAATTGGGCCCGAAAAATGGCTGCAACCGATAACGTATGGCAAATGCGCGGGAATGGAAATGGAAGCCTCTGGTCTCATCTCAGGCCTTGAAATGTGTGATAAACGCACGACCCCCTAAGGGAAAGTTCACTGAGTGCTCAATACAAGCAGAACGTGTGGTAAGTGGCATAGGCATTTTTGAACCTTACCGGTTGTTGCAAGTCCAGCTCTACAGCTTCTGCACTTGAACCATCCTTCAGCCTGTACAGTTGCCATACCTGCTTAGAAGCTAAACATTGCGTTAACTACTCATGTCTGAAACAAGGAAGCTGCTTCTATCTGCTGCCACATCAAACCCATATTGCTCTTAGTCCTGAACCATAAACTCAGTGCTATCATGTCTGCAAGGATAGAGGTCCAAACGCCCGCTGAGGCTGCGACAAGGTTCAGGGATCTCTGCGCAAGGTCTTCGTTGCAGGGTTGTGGCACGAGGCATCTGTCAAGGCGGCGTTTGCAAGGCTCCAGGGTCGGCAGGAGAAATGCTTCGATGATCAGCAGTTTCAAGCCTCATGAGGTTTGATGGCTGCAAACGAATTGAGAGAGGACTCGACAAGGGTAGCACGATCGCAATTTGGAACATACTGCTACGGGTCGATAATGTCGATACATCCATAGATGGTTGTCAGTAGCAGTTTTCTAGGACATGAAGCATGTGGGACTTGGGCATTAGGACCTAGGTGCATGACTGGCGGCTCTTCTTGGCGGGGCGCGCGTCGGTCTTGCAAGGGTGTCTGCAACATCGGCTGCCAGGTGGACAGAACTTCTCGAAAGCCGGTATGAAAGCAACGAAAAGCACGGACGCTGGACTGTGGCCTTTCGCGTTGTCGCAGAGATGCAATCAATCCTATGCACAACTAACTGTAGCTTGATGAAATTTGAAAGCACATCCTGAATAGTACAGACGGGGGGCCAACCTAGAACTGCAGCGAAACTGAAACCTGAATACCAAGTATTCAAACATGGCTGCTTCTAAGAGTGGACCACAATGCGCAAACGGAGCTAACCAAAAAAGTAGCCACACAACCCCTTCTGCAGAAGAGACGCTGCAAACGGCAGAACCAGAAAATCAACCACTTCATGAAGGCGCAAAGAAAAGGAATACTCATCAAAAGGCCTTGAGACCTAGAATTGAAACTATATCAGGGCTCCTTCCAAAGCAAGGTTCTGTTCCTGGCCGCCATCTGGCAGGCACCCAGCTCTCTAGTGCAGCTTCAGGGCTAAACATCTGCTACTGCTTCATGTCACGGACAAGGTTGCAAGCAGCCCTGGACGTTGGACAAGGGAACCAATCTGCTCATAAATTTTGGTCTAAAGAATTGCAACTTAGATAATCCACGTCTCGCCTGAAGCTGCCCTTTCAACACTGCAACCATGCCGCAGCCCCTCTCCACGATCGGGGAGGGCTAAAACAGAAATGCCAGAGTCTGGGGTCAAGCAGTCAGAGGCGTTCGGTACTGAAGCTTTCAGCGAAAAGGTTTTGAAGGTTTGAAGTTTTGGTCTGTGGCAGTTCTTCAACAGCTTTCAGGCTGGACGTTCACAAGGACTCACACGATCTAATCTGTCGAGATGAAGGCACTGTTTTCCTCTGCAAACAGGGCCCGGACAAGCGCAAAGGCTAACAGTGATCCGAATTTTTTAGCATGGGACTCTAGAGTATGAGTAGGCAGGTAAGGCATGGTCCCTATGCGCAAAGATGTTCAGCATCGCCAAGAAGGTTGTATAGGTTGTATGAGGGGCATGTGCCCGTGCGCGAGGTATGAAAGAAGCCTTTAGTTCAAAGTCTCGCGCTCTGGGCAGATGGGGGTTCGGGTTAGGGATTGCGTGTGCTCACCAGCCTCCGCCTTCGCAAAAAAACATGACTCCACGCAAAACAAAAAAAAAACTCTAGAGTTGCTTTAGCAACTACTCTGATCAAGAACTAGGTCACCATCAAGGATATTCTTGCAATGCCTGCAAAGCTCATTGCATGCGTTGCACCTTTGCAAGAAGAATCAACTGCATTAGCAATCACTTTCTGAACTACCACTACTACGGTCGCAGGAACTGCATGTACACTGGTACACACACACATATATATATATATGTGTACATGCTGTGTCTGTGCGCTCGTTTATGCATGGTACCCAATGCATATGGCCATAGAAAGAGGGGCAAGCACTATTATTAGAAGCAAGGTCGTCGGATTTTGTGACTGCACATGCTTAGAGAAATCGAAATCATAGATTTTGCTACTGCTGGCCATGGTTTAAATTACAAATCGCCCAAACTTCTTGAAAATCTAAACAGTTTCACTAGAATAGACTGGCGGTCTCTGTTGTTTGCGAACAAAGTCTTGAGATCTAGCACATGAATATAATGCGTCCACTTTCTGTATACTCATACATATACTCTAGATGTTGCGGCTAGCAGTGCCTAAATCTGGGGGTGATGACTTCCTTTGAGGAGTTGGGTTGAGGGTTTAGCGCTCGGCGTTCGGAGTGCATCCCTCAGAGGACGTCCGCAGAACCTCAGCGCCGCTGAGACTTGGAGAGGAAGTTGAAAGTATACGAACAAAGTGGATTATGTTCGGAGGCCATGGGAACAAAAAGGCCAGATCTTGCGAGCCAGACACCTATCCGCATCTTACCAATACTCGTAGAATATTGCTCGAGGACCCAGCGCTTCCGCGAGGTCGGCTTATCCTCCGGCCTCGGCAAGCCCTCAAGTCCCAGCTTGTAGCGGATGACAAAGTCCTGCCATGTCACCAGGAAAATCAATCGCTGGGGTGTCTGGAGCTTCCATGGAGTCACCCTTGCTTCAATAGCGCAATACCCTGTGAGAGCTAAAAAATAAATGCAACATGCCTTGCAGCTCCTTGGGCAGCAACAGCCTCAGCTTCTCTCTGATGGAGCGGTAGGCCACCTGCGCTGCTTGGACAGCGGGCAGAAATAGTACTCTTCAATCCAACCAGCATCAGTTGCCGACCATGAATGAAGCAATGACAAGCGACCCATAGGAACAGTCATCGCATTCTCATTGTTCTTGCACTTGGTAACTTCGGCCGCTTGCCTCAGGCCTAAAACCCCAAGCCCTACGGAGCAGGACTGGACCTGCAAAGCTTGGAAAAGGTATTGCTGACTCCCCGCCACTCAGCTTCAGACCTCTCAAGTCGTGATGACATGCAAACCTATTACTGAAGCGGATATTCCCAGAGCCTGGCCTGTACAGAGCCTTCGCTCACTTTGACGACTGTTGCAACTTCGGCCAGCCTTGAGCTGCACAAGTGAGCTTTAGGCTTGGAAGTCTTAGGAAACTCAGCCATTGGGCCATCCAGGCGCCGGCTGAGGTAGTTGTAAGCACGCAGCTCTAATGAAGACGGCCAAAACTAAGAGCCTCCTGTATGTATCTCGGCAAGTGCCTATACTCCTCCTCTCCACTTTCTGCTCAAACTAAATCCCTCACAGATTGGGGGTCGTATCTTAAAAACTCCCTGCTACAGCTACAACATCGCACACATCAACACTGCCACTGCTACCACTGCTACCACTGCTACCACTGCTACCACTGCTACCACTGCTACCACTGCTACCACTGCCACCACCGCCCACTGCCACCACTGCCACCACTGCCATGACCAGCCCCACCCTCACCCGCACCGACCCACACCCCCCCGCCCCACCCCACCCCCACCCCCACGCCACCACCACCACCACCACCACCACCACCACCACCACCACCACCACCACCACCACCACTGCCGCCGCCAGCGAAAGAGGGATCGATACGTGCCTTGGTCTTCCTATGATCGGTAGAGTACCTCCCAAACCATGGCCTGGGCTTTTGTTCTGCATCCAGGAGCCAACTTACCTCAGTCCCGTCTTCGGGAACATCTCCGGATTGTTGGTTGAGCATGCAATTGATCATGGCGACGACTGGGCCAATAGAACTGAAAAGCACACTGCAACCAAAGGACTAGTTTCAGCCACAGACCTGATCTGGAATCACCAAAAGTATGGGGGTTTGTAATGTCCTTTTTATGTAATCCTCTGCATGCAATTTGCCCTTGTTAACGTGGCATCCGGGCTGCGATGAAAATGGCGGCGGCCATTGCGGCGGCTGCCAGCGTGTGCTCAACTAGCCCCTGGAAAGCTTCAGGCGTTCAATGTTAAAGACAAAATCAACTGGACTGGGTCTTCAACAAGGAGCACACAAAACTCGGTTCCAGGCTAAAAGCTTCAAGCACAAACTTCAGGCATGACGCTATGACTCAGCCAAACTCGTCTGTTGTGGCCTTGCCCTTCTTGACGACATCTTGCCTTTTCGTCAGACAAACAGTGGCCATTTGCATGGATACGTCCAACGACATCGACTTCTTGGCAAAGAACCACAGATTCATGGAAACAAGAGGGAGGGTCCACGGTTCTTCTTGCCCATGGTTGGGCTTCTGGGCATACACGTGCCACATGCAAAACACGCCTTGTGCTAAAAATACCTTGCCGGGAGAAGAGGTTGCTGCTTTTCGCCGTGAACGTTTCGACTGCACAAGATGCTTGGTGTGCTCTCCTACCAGGGTAGCGTCATTGCTCTCCTCAACCGACGCCAGCAAAATGCAAAGCGGTCACGCGATTCAGATGCTGGGACTGCGGCCGCAAAGCTTGGAGGGCTATGTGCTTTGCTGGAGTGACCACCTCAGCAACCAGTGAGACAAGTGCTACAAAGATTCAAAAGCCTCTTGACAGCCATCTCTG